CTGGGACAGCCTCCCAAGGGGAGCAGTGGGGGGCAAAAAAACCTAACTGGCTTCAAGACTGAGTTGAGCAGCATATGGAGGGGCTGGTGGGATGAGACCATAGCTAGTGCCCCATCCATGAGTGCTAGCAGCTACTATTGCTAATGGCTGGGGAGGGGACAGTAGGTGGAAAAGGCTCCGAGCTACCACAGTGAATCATTTCCCAGCTCTCTGGCGGGTGGGCTTCACCCACATGCTCCAGGTCTCACGGCCACTTCTGAGGTCAGGAAGGAATTTTCCCCCTGGTCAGCGGGCAGAGATGTTCAGATCAGTCTGGGTGAGCCCCATGATCCTTCTGGCCTTAAAGCGTGTGAGTCTTCGTGCCCAGCGAGTCAAAAGTCGCAGGACACCCTGAACTCTGCCGTCTCTTGTCCGCGGCCCCCAGCCCGCCGTGAAACATCTCTACCTGGTTCAGGCACCTCTGTTGGTTTGCAGTTCCCAGCAGCAGGAACTCCCAATCTGGACCATGCTGTCGAGACACCCAGCTAACACACCCATGGGAAAGCAAGTTCCCATAAGAACAGGCAGGCTGGGGTCAGACCAATGGTCCAACTAGTCCCCAGGAAGGGGCCGGAGGTGCAGTGATCTCAGGATCCATCCTCAACCAACTGGCACGGGTGAGCATGGATTCTGTGCCTGCTGAGTGGCTGCGTTCCAGAATTACATCCCACCAGCTGATGCAGAGTGTGGCACAAATGTCATCAAGGTACTGACAGACGGTGAGCCAGTCACCCCTTAATCATCTCTCTCTTACACTCCCTGCGTCCTGTTTGAAGCTACAGGAGGGCCAAGGGGACACGTCTCCCGTGAAGTCAGTCACGGTGCCTGTTTCTGTCAGTCAAAGCTACAGCACAGATTTGCTTTCTGCTGCAGCCTGCAACTTCCTTCCTTTAACATCCACAACGGCCACAGCTCCTGCCACGAACTGGTCCCCCCCAAGGTCCGTTCCATTCTAGATGTCTATGATCCTGCGATCGTTATTCAATTCTAAAAAAAACAGGGATTGAAGTGTCTGAAATCAGGACCCCGCTGTCTATCCACTTCCTGTCTGCAGGCGTTCAGAGGCGAGTGGAGATGGTGGGAGATTTTTCAGTGATGATTTTATTAAGATGTTTGGCCCAAAAAATGCCAATTCCTTCACACTGACATTATCTGCAGTTATAGGTCACATTTGCCACCTGGAAAAAAAAAAACTGTTGAGGAAAAAAAAAAAGCTTTGAATTTGTTTAAACATCTGGTTGTTTTCAACGTGAAAAGTTTCCGGTTCACCTTTGGGAACACCCTTGACCCTGCAAAACGCAACGTACGTTTGTGCGAAGAAAAGGTTCAAGAATCAAGTTTGGAACACATTCTTTCCAAATGAAGACGAAATATTTTCAGTGGACCGAAAAAATCGGTTTTTTTTCCTCCCTACATTTTTCCTTTTGTGAAAAGCGTTGTCATTTTGGTTCAATTTGGGGTGGGGAAAAAAATTGAAAGGTCGAGAATTCTTCCACGCTGAAAGGACCGTTTCCACCCCAAAAGCCTATGAAAACAAGACAAAAGCTGGGGTGGGCAGGGTACACCGGTGCTGGACAACTTGTGGTCCACTGGGGTTTTATGTGTGGTCCACCGCAAGACATTTTATTTACCACTGTTCATGTGCTGGGTTACCAGATTTTGCTGGTTTCCGTCCATGTCGATTTTTTTCCTACCGGTGTTACTAAAGTGACACACACGTAAAGTGAAGGGAGGTGGGTGCTGATTGCTCACAGCACTGACTGAGAGCACCAAGCGCTCGCTCTGCGCCCAATCCCAGCGCTGTTGTGGCTCAGTCGGCACCCCCCGCACATCCTACGTACGCCAGCGCCGTGAGCAAAACGGCCTGGTCCCAGGAGACCATCTTGCGGATGAAGATGGAGGAGGTCCCATCCTGCGGCCATACACTAGCTTAGGTTGCCCATTGCCAGAAGACATGGCTACTCTCCACTTCTAACTCTAGTCTAGCTTAAAAAGGGCCGATTCAGGGGCAGGTCTGTGGCCTCTCACACGTCGATCAGCCCACACCATCACAGTGGCCACTTGTGGCCTTGGAATCCAACTCCCCCTCAGTGTCCTTGCTAGGAACGGGAGACCCCGCCCATCGAAGGACTCCTGAAATGAATGGCATTTAGGCACCTATGGACCGTTAGGGATCTGACCTACATAACTTGGGCACAAAGCGCATGGCACAACCAAGCCAGCGCTGGTGAGCCTCAGACCAACGGCTCTGCCATGAGCCTTCCATGCCTGGCTTTGTCCCCATGAGGAAAATGCAGCGCCGCTGTTCTCCACAGAAGGTGAGACCAGGCTAAGGAGAGGAGAGACCACCCCACTGCACCCAGCAGAAAAGGACGATCAATGTACCGTGCCTGTAAAATCCAGAGTAGAAACACACCCCCCTCTAAAGTGACTGCACCAAGGCGAAGGTGCCTGCTCTGACTTGTCCTGGGCTCCTAGCCAGCGCCGGTCCCAGGTGAGACAACTCTGCTTACGGAGCGACTAGAGGCATGCCAGGGGAGGGCCAGGTGTAGGCTGTAACCCCCGGTGGCCATCAGGCCAGGGGCAATGCGTAATGGAGACGAGTCACAGACACACCCATAAAAACACCCCAGACACACCTGTACCCAGGTTTCACCCTGCAAACCCGCCCAGAAGCTGCTCTGAGGGCAAATTACATGAGTGAAGTTTCCTAGGGTGGGCCACACCCGTCCTTGTGTGCACAGTGACCAAGGGATTCCTCACCTCAGCCCGCTCAACAAGCCATAGGGAGAAACAGTATTTCCAGGGCTAGCTGGTGTCCAGCGGCTGTAGCTCCGCTGGTGTCAAGGCAGATCCCAGCTGGTGTCCAGCGGCCGGAGTGTCACTGGGGGTAAGTCAGCCCCCATGACAGCTTGAGATCCCGTCCCCGGGAGGAAGAGGAAAGGGGGTGGAGGGGGGCAGTAGGGGAGAGGAAAAGGTCTGGGCCCCGAGGTGAGGGACTGGGCCTGCCTCAGCTGCTCAGCACTATGGAGCACCAGCTCAACCATGACCTGACGGGGCTCCGGTTCTGCACCCAGAGCTGGAGCCCATAAGAACAGCTGGAGCCGACAGCTTGAGATCCCGTCCCCGGGAGGAAGAGGAAAGGGGGTGGAGGGGGGCAGTAGGGGAGAGGAAAAGGTCTGGGCCCCGAGGTGAGGGACTGGGCCTGCCTCAGCTGCTCAGCACTATGGAGCACCAGCTCAACCATGACCTGACGGGGCTCCGGTTCTGCACCCAGAGCTGGAGCCCATAAGAACAGCTGGAGCCCCCCAAACCCAACAGCCCCCTGCAGCCCAGGTTGCCAGAGTTGGGGGAGCAGGTAGTCCGGGGGGGACGACACCCGGGCTGGGTTCCCCCGGGCCAGCCCAC